ATTACACAACTAAAACACAAATTTGACTCAGCAATGCAAGATAAATCCTCAATAGCTGTCTTTATGTTTTTCAGCATTGCATTTAAGTTAAACTGTAATATCCTTAATCTTTATCTCCCATCATGTGTTCCCTTCATATTTTGCTGTGCCAGCAGGGGGCATAAGCCACAGCTGGAAAACAGCCCAAGTGACTGTTCAGTCCAGTCTAGTACAAGGAAACAAGGTAGATGTAATATTTTAGTCCGAGGGATCCGCCAATAAGTCCCGCAACTGAGGCCATAGACCTTGTGCAGGTATCAGGCCGTGTGTGTTGCTTCTGTTTTCTGTCTCTCTTGCTGAAATTGAAAGTCTTTATCGCCACAGCCATTCAGCCTCTGCAGCATAAAGTTTCTTTGGTTTTTTTTGTATCTCTCTTAAGTCGTTACACTAATCGCAAATTAAAGAATTCAAATAAGGCTGCTGTTGTGCAACATAGTTTTTAAGTGGTTATCTTGTTTAGCATTAGGAATTGTGGAAATTGTCCTTTTCATCATTTGCCAGTGTAAAGATTTGTGTCTTTGAAGAATTACCATATAGACTATTCTTTGAGTACCAGAGCCCCAGCATTTAATTTTTATCCTTCCTCTTTGTGAATACAGTTGCTGTTTCAGAGATAAATGTGAACTGATTTGGACAGTTATGCAATACGTGGATTTTACTGCCTCTGAATAATAATCTAGTTAGAGTTGGTAGAACACAAAATAATAAATATTTATATAGATTGCATTAATAAGTTAAACTATTCCAGAAAAAAACATTTATTTAAAAAATACCAGTAGTCAAATAGGGTAATGTCTATGGTAATGCTAGGAAGTAAATAATTAAAGCTTAAAATAAAAAGCAGCTGTGTGCCAAACAACATCAAGTAAGTGTCCTGTTCAGATGATGTACTCAAGTTACATCTTGTCTGTTAAACAGTTCAAGTCTAAATGGCTTGGAAAATATGAGTTTGCTCCACTTTTTTGATCTTTGTATTTATTTATTTATTTATTTATTTATTACATTCCAAATATCTCACAGTGGAAAATGTGTTATTTCATGTAACCAGTCGAAACACAGCATTTTGTCAGGCCAGAGCCATATAAGGAGGTATAAGTCCTCTGGGCAGCTCCAAAATGTAAGCCAGTTTCCTTTTTTTTCCTTAATTACTTAAACTGACTCTGCTTGAAAATATGTAACAAAGAGCACTGTTGTATTTTTGATCCAAGGTGAAAGGCAGCCATTCTGCAGTCAGTTACTAATTCAGCTGAATCTAGAGGGAGATCCTTAAAGCCTTGTGCATATTTCATTAAGCTGCTCATTGTTATTCTATACCTGATTTTAATTAAGAATAGTAGGAACCCAACTGTGTGATTTAAGTGTATGTCTGTGTATGTGCATGTGTGCATACTCGGTTTTGCTCTGAGGCAGGGTAGACAGTCGTTACGCCTGTTCGTAGCTCTCTGCAGCACAATTCTTCTCTGCTAATCTCCATCCAGTGATGGACACATTCATTCATTAGCATTCATATGATTATAAGCTCTGCTGGCAAAGCTGAGCAGATGATGTAGGGTTTGGTGAATCTTACCAACCACTCTTCACAGAGAGGAGGCATTCGATGCCACCACTTGGTTAACTGCTTTATTTTCAAGGAATATGTTGTTTGGAGGCACAATAAAATCAGTGGAATCACATTTTGCTCCCATTTATGCTGCATGAAATGAACAAAGGAACTGCTTTCCATTAGCATAAAACTCGCTACATTCTTGTGCTTTGACCACTGAGACACTATTGCTCTCTTGAAATCATTTGGCCTTATTACACTCTGGTAATAAGTGTTGAGATTGGCACCATAACACTTCTGTTCAATAGATGGTGCTGTGCAAGGGTGTGGAAAATGAACCCCCACCCCCCATCGAGTCGATTTAAATGGAGAGTTGTGATTAATTGGAATCGATAGCGTTGGCATCGACACTCATCACTCCTCATCTACAAAGCTCTGCCTTGACCCACACTTAATGTGCTTATGTACACTTCAGTTAGTCCACACAACACACACACATGGGCACTTGCATGCATATTCGAGACATCATAACGTGAAGCATCCCCTTCGTTAACACTGGCTGTTACAAAATGGCACAGCTACATCTTAAGTCATGCCTGTGTGAGTTAGGATCCCCACATACACTTACTTACACACACACACACATCCTTCCCAGCAAACTGATGAACTCAGCCTGGAGAGGTGATGAGGCTGGAGGAACAAAGGATTAGTCGATTGAGAGCTGCAGAGTCATTGCAGACTGAATTAGAAAGTGCTCACAACCATCGGAACTAAAGTTGTGAGGGTATAATGCTTTCTCTCCTCTTTGCAAAGGTTCAGTCTTTGTAAAACTATAATTTCTAGTCATGTCTTTAACTGGTGTCTCATGAATTTCAGGGCTTTTCCCTCCTTGTCCTCTTTGGGCCAAATGTCAAGTCTCAAGCCATTACACAAAGTTGTGGGTATATCTCTTGCTATTAGACCTGGGGCGCATTAACTCAGGGAATTGTCTTCAACCTCATCTTTTGAAATGTCATTGCTCCGTTATTCTCCAGTATTCTCCTTCTTTTATAGAGAGCGCTGTCTAAAGTTTAACATTTCAGTTACAGCTGGCCCAGGCCTCCAGTTATCAGCTTGGTACAGTTAGGCTGTGAGCCAGGACAGCTACATTGTTTGATTTTGGCTTGGAGTAACTACAAGTGTTTATTGTGCTTTGTGGATCCATGAAGATTCGAGTGCATAATCGTTCAGTATCTTGAGCGCTAATGACATTGTTTGTGTGTCCGTGTTTGTCGAGTAAGATTAGACAAACGTATCAGCTTGTCTGCATGTGGAGCAGACCTAATATTGTCCACTTTGAGAAGTGAATAAAGTTTATTAATGTCACTCTTTTGCACAGAAACCATATAAGGCAAAATAAATAGGATGCTTAGGACCACTCCACTGAAACTGAGAGAGACATGCACACAAATAAACAGTTTCTGACGCACTGTAGTAACATCATTTTCCTTCAGTAAAGCCTTGGTGCGTTGGTTAATACGGTATAATAAGTAACAGATAAAATAATGTATATTTTTGTTAATATCATCAAGATAATGATATTAATCAGCATAACCGGGAAAATTAAAGACCATCTGCAGGCATATATTAGCTTCCAATTTATAGTGTAACCGAACATTCAGATTCAGTGGACCACCATCATATAACTACCATTATAACCTCCTGGCTACAGCTACATAACCTGCAATGGAATTTATTTATTTTAAACATTCATTCTATTTTTCTTGATTAATGAAGTCTTCATTGAAAGCCTGATGTATATCCCAGAATTCCCCCTACCTGATTACTCAGGCTGCACTACAGCTGCTAATCATTTGATTCAGTGTAGAGCTTCAGTGAGTCTAATCTAAATGATTCAGCTGAGGATTTTTCCACCCTGGCATGATTATACAGTAGGTGATTGGCAGCTTTGATACAAAAATATCAGTACTGGGATCTACTAAACCCATATTAGCTGAACTGTTGTGCTGAAATATCCTCGGAGAGGCTGTGTGCATTGGCCCGGGCCAGAGGAGAGTGTCTAGCTGTTGGGGCCTTATCTTAAAGTGTGATTTACCGCGGAGACACTCTTGGCAGGGGATTTAAAGAGCTGTCTGTAGGTGAGAGGGGGCAGAGACACCAAATCGTCACTCAGCAAGTGTTCAGCATCATTTCCTGAAGAACACAGTTGCAGCGGGCAGACTTGCTTTCATAAATAGATAAACACGCACTGAAATGAGCATCTTCTTTCATTCTTAGTCACACATATTTTTTCTGTTTTGTGTGCTTCTTTCTTACACACACATTACCAAGGAGACAAACACAGTCAGCCCAAAAACTCAAGAGGCCCACCATGATAATGAAACAGCATGATATTCTTTTTATTGTAGATGGAGTAGCCTTCCTACTTTTTAAAAACAACTCTTCCTTCTTCCCTAATAAACCCAAGAATACCATTTGCAGTTTACACATTGTAAGTTATTTTTAATTGAAGCCATTGTGTGCGATTGTTTCGAACGTGGCCCGGCAGTGTTGGTTTCAGATCAATGGCTTCAAACGCAGGAAATAATTATTTTGCGGTGAGATGAAAGTCGGGGTACAGCAGCACAAACAGCCTGTGGATCCAGCCTTTTTTAATTAGTGCTGTGTGTCTCCTGCTCTGCGTGGCAAATTAACATCCACCATCGAGGATAAGTGATTGTGCTACACAACTGTGTGTGGGTGGTTGTACGTGTGTGCATAAAGATTTGTGTGCGCAAGAGTTCGGGGGTAGGTGGGGGTTAAATTTTTTGGCCCTTTCCATTCCTGAGAATCTATCCTGAATATGGATCGCAAGATTTCACGTCCAATATGCTGTTGTGTTTTCCAGCATAAAAGATTAAACCGAAAATAGTTAAAAACAAGTTTTTACAACTTTCCTAGGCTGCTGTGTTAAAGGTCCAGAATCAGTCTGTTTGTTTTTCCAATGTGGCTGAGAAAAAATATTCCAAATATTTAAAAAAACAACAACTATTTGTTCAATTTAAATTGGGTAACAATAGCAGCTTTTTTCTCAAAATAAAATGCGTCACGGATACTGCATTTGGTCTGAAAGGGTTCGATTTTTTTTCATAGTTTCAAATTTAGCTTGGTTTTAAATCTTAAGTAAGTAAAACACAAGTAAGAAAATAGTGTCATGTAGAATCTCATTGCTCATACTAATAAGTTGATGAGCAAACATGTGTTCAGGGCCTTTAAACCCTTCAGTGTGTATGTATACTGTATGAAGGGAACCTTTTTAATTCTCATTGTTTGTGACCTTTCATTTCTTACCTCTGAAATTTTTCTGAAATATTTGTTATTCTGTTGATGTTTGAAGTGAGGGCCGTTTTTACATCCTTGTCTTGTCGTTATCTTTCAGGGATGCCCAGGTTTGCCAGCCAGCCATCGTCGGCCACTGTGCATCAAGGGAGCAGCCATGTGATGCCATGTGAGGTCAATTCAGATCTGGTGCCCTTCACTCGGTGGGAGAAAGACCGCCAGCTGCTGGAGTTGAGCACCAGGCTGGTCCAGCTGCCCAGCGGAGCCCTGGTGATCAGCAACGCCTCGGAGGCCGACGCTGGGCTTTACCGCTGTCTGGTCGAAAATGTTGGGCCGTCCAAGTCCAGTGATGAGGCTCAGCTCCAGATAGTTCCAGGTAATTTGAGGAAAGAAAGTTTTATCAGACTGTGGGCGAAATGTTGTCCAGTAAGAATTTAATCAGTGAGTTTTTTTGAGCTAGATATCAGATTCTAAAGTTATAATTTCTGTCCCAAACATATGATACTGATAATGATTTTAGATTAGTTGGGCACTACACGTCCATTGTTATCCAGAAGTGAAAGCATTTTTTATGCTTGTCCTCAATTTTACCTGTTCACATCCTTGAGTGTAGTGCAATTATGTTTCTATTGTAGGAGCTCTTGTGCAGCAAATTGAAATTAAAATCTAGTTCGGAGTATTATTTGATTACAGTGGTACATGGTGTCCTCTCTGGGTTGCTCATTAGCTTCAGCATGAAGAAATCTGTAGTGTAGTGAGAGATGGTTGAATGCCAAAAGGTGAGGTAGAACCCCCACTGGGGTTATCAGGGATGCTAACGGTAACTCAGTTGTTGCTCAAAAGGGGGCTGAATTCCATTGTGGCAGTGTCTCGCCTCGCCCCTCTACAAGTTTTATTTACTGAGTTGTTAAGCACCAGGCTCCTGGCAGCACAGAAAAGATATTAGAGGTCATAAATCAGGCTTCAACAAGACCCCAGTGGGGGTCTTTATCTCTGTGTGTCTCCTCCAAGGAAGTGTGGTAGAGTGGCAAAAGGCTGAATGCATACAGAAGGAAAACTCATAAAGCTGTTTGAGGAAATTGAAAGAAATTTTGTTTGCTGTTCGGATGCTGCCAGATGTTTAAGCGACAGAAATACATTTATAGTTATTTGGTTTCTTTTGAAGTAACAAATCAGCCTGAGGATAAAGAAACTTGAGGGTTTCCAGAGAAAGTTGAAAAAAAAAAGCCTTAATTTCTTTTTTTTTTGGTTTTTGTCCAAGAGAAAGATAAAACAATGATGCTTTTAGTTATTTTCTTAAAGTCCTGTGTATGTGCTGGGGTCACACACGACCCTCTGGTTATTGCAGGCTGCCACTCAAGCAGTTAGTTACAGCTGGAATGTATATGGGATCACTCTGAACTCCTAAAGAGCCGAGACTTCATCTGTCTCAGACATCAACATGGCCATTATTCATCTGACCATTCTTGGTGTCGGTGTCAGGAACAACTACCCATCAGTCTTTAGTTCTTTTGAAGTTTTTAAGACAGATGACACCCGTTAACGTAGAAGGTTGCAGCTCTGCTTCACTTACTCACCCCAACCTTAACCTCAGCCTGAACCCTGACCTTTTTTTTTTCTTTCTCCCATCTAAGAAACTGGAGAAGACAGAAAGCTGGAGTTCCTGGTGCAGCCTGTGTCTTTGACCAAGGTGGTGGGCGCCAGCGTGCTTCTGCCCTGCGCGGCCACTGGTTACCCAGTGCCGCACATCCGTTGGATGTTTGGAGACAAGCTGCTAGAAGAAAGGTATGAGCATGAACTCTGTTTTGATTCATTTATATATGCTACATATGTCCACTCTTACTTGTGTAGAAAACGGTGTGCTATACCTTATTCAAACCCACCTTTCAAAATCACCTTTACCCATCAAAGTCAACAATATTTACTCTAAAACATTACATTGCTGTGCTCAACATCCCCTGGCTCTCGCACATTCCTAGCTTTTGAAATGCAACACAGACTAAAATGTACTACTCCTTTGTACCCAGTGCCTCTGGCCTCTAAAAGCTAACCTGTTAGTCCTGGCGCCTGCTCCCCAAGGTGTTAATGCTTTTCTGCCACTGCTACCAAGAGAGCCCTAGGGGGGTGGACCTGGACGTGCCAATGGAGCCACTTCAGCTGGGAGACAAGGCTGCAGGGTTGCCAGCTGAGGGGAAGTTCACAAATTAAGAGCCAAGAGAGAGTGTCACAGCGCCTGTGCTCTCACTCCTCTGGCTCTCATTAGCTCAGCCAGGGCAGCTCAAATCCCTTGGAGAGAATTGCACTAGACATTGGAAGTTTGATTTTCACCAATTAACAAAGCTCTTTGTTTACCCAATCCCTGTGTACCAGGAGTGTAGAATAATAACTTTGCAACTTGTGGGGTCAACAGAAAATAGCTGAAATAGGGCTTGTTCATCTAACTCCAACCCCAGAATAGGATTCCTACCTTCAGTGAAATTAAATGTAAGGTCATCACATTGATAACCACACAGCTCCAGTGTGGTGTGAGCTAGAATATCATTAGTCTTTCCAATCTTTAGTTCCAAGCAAAAGTGAAATGCTTCAAACACCTATGGAATTGTCTGTGAGTACCTCTGACCTCCAGTGGGAGGTAGCTTAAAAAGGTACTTATTAATCTACCTTGTATTAATTACACAACACTATCCAGCGTGCCTACCTCCCACCCTAGGGTGTCTCCTTTGGTAATTAGCAAGCACACTCTGAACAACCAGGGAAGTCTTCATAATATTGAAGTGGACCCCCATGCTCCTGCCTTCAGAGCAGAAATGGATTGTGTAGTGAATACATTACCAAGGCCATTCTTTTGATTTTAATATGACATTGACAATTAAAAAAGAATAGCAATGGAACTTTCTTTTTTCTCCTTGAGAGTCTCCTGTCCCTCTCAGGCATTACATGAGGAATAGAAGAGCTGCTGTCAATTAAAAACTGGCGTGGCGTGCCATTTAAGGGAGAGAGAAAGGGTAGTCTGCAAAGAGTGTCTAATTGGTCTTTGGTGCACGGCACAAACGGGGCATTGAAAGTGGCAATGCCGAAGCTGTAGACATGAGATGAAAGTTTATGAAGATGTGTCAAAGCTACCAATTGAAGGCAGAGTGACTCGCTGACAGCAGGGATTATCACATTAAGCTTCTGCTGCTGATACTTCAACTTGGTCATGTATCTTGTTTTCCTCCTGTCTCTCTCTCTGATTGTGTTCACAATATGAGAGAGGGACTGTTTTACTGAGCCTCAGATAATGTAGGTGATTAAAAATGAGTGCAACATGAAACCTTGGTTGGTAGTTTTGCAGGATCCTGATTCTTGGTTGTCTTATTCTCCTCCATAATTATTTGCTTGTGGTTGCACTAGCTGACTGACTCCTCAGAAGTACTCTAAGATACTTTTAAAGACAGTGAAATACTCTCCACTTTTTGTGCCATATAAAAGATTTCTTTCTTAAGTTGGATTTCTTTGAAGAGTCTCATTAATGTGTTATTCATAACCTCACAGAAGACAGACATTGCTGTTTCTTTTGTATCACCTGTCCATATTGCCATGTTGGCCTTAACGGCTGCTATAAAACTCTTTGATGTCTGTGATGACAGATGGGAACAGAACAAAAACCTGAAATGGAAATTTAGAACAGGTGGTTGTCTAACTCTCAGTTGCAGAGAAGTTGATTTCTCTCTGCTGAGTGTGTCTTAAAAGTCTGGTATCCTTGGATCATACTATGCAATGTTTTTGCCTTTTGAGATGGTCACAGTGTCAGATAAGGCAGTCATGGTCATAAATTCTTGCTGTTGGCAGAGATATGGTGAGTGGGAAGGAGGGGCAGGGATGACTTTCCTTGACACCAACAATGAATCTTAATGCATGTAAACACAATTTTATTAATGAAAGTAAAACTGTAATCATTCATCCTAACTCAGCTGGGGGCTCTATCTAGTCCTTGATTGTGTGAGGGAACAGTGTACACATAGTGTGCATAGGGTAACGTTGCACCCCCAGGGGCGATTCATTTGGCACAGTGCTCCTGACTCAAGGAAGATGTCGAATGCTTGCAAGTTCACTGACATGAAATAAAACAAAAGTCCTTTTTTGCATCACCATTCACAGTTGTGCACAGAAGAGTGCAAGAGTAAGCCTGCTGTGGGTCAATATCACAAAAGAGAAGACAAAAAACAGACATGCTTCAGATGCTGCGATAATTCTCTTCCACTGTGACACTTTACACCAGATAAAACAAGCAATTTCACTTTTTGTTCCTCGTGCCCCACATTTTAATGATGTAACTTAAAATGTGGTTTATGTCTCATTGACAAGTGTGCCAAAATAGATTAATGGTTATCTATAGCCTCTTTTTTTATATGTAAATATAGTTTTTCACAGAGAAGTAGGGGATACTGCTCAGAATATCTGTTATACATTCTTGTTTGAAATTATTTAACCAAGGTACACAATATCTTGAATGAAAGATTGATATTGCAATAACTATTACACTATAGCTTATTCTATTGTAACATACTGTCTAGCCTCAAATGTATTTAGGCTCAGAGAAAGCAAATTGCCAAAGACACAAACAAGCTCACCATTCATTCTGATTAAGCTCAGTAACACCATGAGAGAATACGTAGCACTTGAAACTATTCATACAAATGTTGAAACATACATTCTTAGCAAATTACCTGCATGCCGTCGATCGCATCCCCAGGTATGGACAGAAAAAGGCCTTTGGATGTCTCCCACATACTGGTTCTGATGACGCTCAAAAAGGACAGTCATATTTTGTATCACTCTATCACCTAATAGAATTCCACAACAGTCAATAAAATGGATGAATTATGCATGTCGGCCAGCAACATGGAATTGCCAGAGCATGTAAATCAACCCCCCTTCCAAAGCCTCCGAGCTGTCTGTCTACTCTCCTCCTTGTCTTCTCGCCTTTATTTAAATATGATTGTGTGTATTACATTTACTTGTGCGTGATGGTAGAAGCATGGTGTAGGAAATTCTTTTGCAATTGGACTGCAGTGTAACCCTCTCACACATATGTCTCCCATAAATACAAACATGCACACATCACCTTATTCACTTGACTGTTTCCTGGGCGAGAGGAGAAAAGAAATCATACACACGCACACACACACACACACAAATGCATAGACACACTTCTGTCTATGGGAAGTTTATTGGTTAATCTGATGTTATAATCCATACCACTTCAGTCCTGGTTGATTTAGCGAAACCTGTTACTATCATCCCAGAGTTGCATTTAAAAAGATACAACCACTGGTCATAAAAAGTCATATCAAAAAACGACTTATAAACGGCATTGTGTTGTATCATTATGAAATTGCCAATGCACAACAACAATGTTGCATTAGGAATTCTAGATGAATTGAAATGATGTGGAATTCAAACCACTAGCACTTACGTATATAATGGTTTGAAGCTCTGGCAATGTGGCATGCACACACAGAAGAATTGGTTCTACTGCTCTTGAAGAGACAGCATGGCCGAAACAAATTCCACTGCCATTTACATTTTCATCTAAGCTAACAATCCTTCAGATGCAATCATCTGTAATTGTCTGTATTTTGGAGTGAAGTCACAAAGTGACACTCAGAACTTTAACCTGATTTGTTCTCTACATCCTTTTAAGTGCAGTTCCACTGTTAACACCCACACCATCAACTGCACTCTTTTTTTAATTCTCCGCTTCAGTTTTTAAACCAATTTTAAGACATTCTGCATGTCGTTTTAAAATGGCACAGAGAATGGCCACTGCAATAAAAAGATGGGTATTACAACTGAACCCTTCAGTCTGTCAGAGATATAACCTATCAGTATTAACGGCCTATGATTTTCACTTGCTCCTTTCTTCAGAGTAACTATTACGGAGGTTAACAGCAAATGTCCGCCTTGTGCAGAGCCCTTACTCATCCTGCAGCAGCAAATTATACAGTTTTTAGCTGTGTTTTCAGATGTCACTGGAAAGCGGCTGACAAATACGACAGATACTCAGACCACTTCTGCCTAACTTATTGTTAAGGAGGATGAATGGAAAATAGTAGCTTCTTGTCTTTTAAGTGTCACAATGTACGTAAACACACTCTCTGGCCACTTTATTAAGTAGACCTCTGCAATCTAATGCAATCCAGTACAACAGGTCTGCACATATTCATCCTTTATGAAAAGTTTTTCTGTGTTTATTAAGATTTTAGATTAAAAAGTTACTAAAAAATCAAATTAAATCAAGGAGAAAACAAAAAGCGTGAATTGAAACTATTCTGCCCTGCATGTTTCCCTCTTTGAGAGAGGCTGAAATGTAGGTATCCACACCACATTCTTTCAGACACACAGGAGGCCCATATGGTTAGAAGTCTGCTTATAACTCAAAAAACACCAGTAAAATGATAAATGGCAGCAGCAGAGTGGGTTAAGGTAATGGAGTGGTTTTGCTGGCATGTGTGGCCGAGAAAACACGACAAGCAACATGGTTTTCTGGCAATGGCGCATCAGGCATCTCCTCTTAGGATGTCTCTCGGTCTCCAGCACATCACAAACACACACAATCTCACTGGCTCACTTCAAAGCATGTCTCCTGTCACAGCATCCATTGTTCTTCTTTGCATTCTGGTCACAATGTCATTTTTATTGCCAAGTAGGAATAGAGGATGAGAGGAATACATTGGCTTTTGACCATTGGCTCAATCTAAAGTCACCAGAATAGCTACTAAGCAAATCTACTTTAGCACATACTGTAATTTACCTATGGAGTTAAAACTGTGAAGCATCATTAGCTGAAATAGAATTGACATTATGGGTCTTTATTCACTTCCAGCCTGGACCTGCATATTGTCTTTCACAGCATAAAACAGCTCACCTGCAGCGCTTTACTGTGGCTCTTCACCCGACATGATGTGGGTATACGTCCTATTTAAAGGCTTTATAATCCGTTGGACTCCTGTAATTTTCTAGACGTGACACAGTATGGGGCACACAGGGTTCACGTGGTTTCAAGCACCCCGGAGGGCCCACCAGAGCCATCTAAAAGTATATTAAGCGAGTTATGGGCTCCAGGCTTCATTGTAATATGCACTAATCAAACGATCGGTTTATTCTTGGGGACCCTGGTAAAAAAAAAAAAAGCAAATAAAGTCAGGTATGCGAGAGTTGTTTTTGTCCCGAGGGCCCTGCGGCTTTCCATTACGAGCCGGAGGAAAACAAAAACGTTTTCATGGCTGAGTCACTTGAGAAGTCCCAGCCTGTGCTATTGGCACAAGGTTCTTTCTTACATTAATCTCTGTTTGTTTATTCATTCACTTATTGCCTTAGCTAGTCTGACTTCTTTCATCTTTTGTTTCTAACATTTGTTTCCCCAATATACCGTAGCTCATATCTGAACAGCAATAGGTAAATCAAGTCAAGACTTGACTTGAATTGGTAAAGAACAAAATGTGTTTTGGAAGCGGGAAAAATCAGTCCAATCCGCTGTCTGCCCTGCTTGGCTGTTAAATGAAATCCCACTGCTTTCTTCACACCTTGAACATGTTTCAAATTCATGGAACTGTTATGATTATTTTTTTGGTCAAAAGGGGGGAAGTTCAATTTGCGTTCACTTTGAACCACAACACCGCGAACGGCACAATAGTTGGCATTCATGGTGCATGACGGAGCAAAGAGAGATGGTTGAGACGGCGGAGGGGTTTGCTAGTTATAGAGAGAGAGGAGGAAAGTAGCAAGTGAAAAATACATTTAATCAGAGGAAAGAGAGGCCAAACAAAGAAAAGTTTACAGATTCCCACTCTATCCATTTATAATGAATCCCATTTTTTTTGTTGACAGTCGTGATTCCACCTGCCGTCCCCTTGTGCTGCAGATAGCGTGACCCATGCCCAAGTACTGTCACAGCACCACTGATTGCTCTGTGACAGCGTACTGCACTGCCTCCATCAACGCACACATGCCTACAGTTCTTCAGTGATCTGCAGCTTCCCCTCACCCAGGTGTACTGACCTTGCCACTAGTCGGTGTTACGGAAGGCTGAGTCACCAATCACACATACCAAATGTGTTCTCCCCCCCCCACCCAAGCCCTTTTCTGAAGTCTCTGTGGCTGCCACTGCCTTCAAAGCTGAATGGCAGAACAGGGGACAAGACTGTGTTAGAGACCACTACATGTTGACAGGAAATTCTCAACACCGTTTCTGGACCGGTTACACACTAGAGAGCATCAGAAGGGTTACGATGTTGTGTCTGATATTTTGAAACGGATGTATGACGTTATGATGAGGAAAGTGAAAATCTAGACAAAAACATATATTGGATATATATATTGGAATCACATTTGAGTGTCTCAAATTTTAGCCGAATATATGAACATTATAATTAATTGCACACCACAATGAAAAAAACGTGGAAAGTTGTTGCTGATGGAAGTGGAATTAGTAAAAACTTGAGAGCAAGGCCAGTTAGCATCATTGCACCTATTCTGCCTGACACGTTTACCCTGTAGTCTTTACTTTGCTTGTGACAGTGGAAATAGTGAGCTAATTTAACAGCTCTTTGTAGGTGAATACAGATATTGCAGTTTTAATTAGAGCCCCACTTACTACCATCTCCCACCAAGGACCTGCAGCTAATGCACAAGATATCCTTCATATCCTTGCAGCAGGCACCTTGTCTTAATTTAAATGAACATGAAGTGGAGAGAGCTCCCACACAATAGCGCAAGGTGTCTTCAGCCCATTCAGCTCGAGCCAATTTACTTGTCTCCCTCCCTCATGGTCTATAAACAGTAGCACATTCCTTGTTCCACTGAGCACTTAAGCTGCGGCAGTTAGAGGGGAGATTGGCTCGCTCTAAACAGAATGAGAAATTGCCTGGTGATTTGATATGTGCTGTATGTTCATCTTTCAAGTACAAGAGGAAGCTGTCAATGCCCTTTATAGTGCATGTGTACGAAAGCCCAAGAGTCTGAATAGTTGTCCTGGTGAGACTAACTGCAGGATTGCCTGGCATAACTAACTCAGGACGTCTTTCAGAGGAAATTTCATTCAGCAGGGATTTGACATGCATGGCCTTACAGCAGAATCAGACAGACTAATGTGCACAAGGAAGTAGTCTATGTACAGCAAGACATTTGGCATTTTCATTGTTTCCGTGTTATGTTCTGCAGTCTCAGGACCAAAAGAAAAGGCAGCTACTTACTTCATGTGTCTCCTTTTTTCCCACCGTGTAGACCCAGGGCATTCTCTGTCAGGCTTTCTGCTGAGTACAACATTTTTGAGTGTGTTTTTATTTATTATACAATCTACTGCTGTCAGAATGGGTCCAGTGTGCTGTTTGATACTCTATTTGGACTGACATGGGGATCAGGGATTACTTGTGTTTCCTGTCAGTCTGAACAGGTCAAAATGGCTTTTTTGACCTGAATTCATAAACCTGGCCCTGACCTGGGTGAAACAGCAGGTCTCACACTGCTCAGGTTTGTTATAAAAGGGTGAGTGTCAGTTTACAGTAAATATAGGTTTGCTATGATTTCTGTGGAAAGTATTACTGTGACTTGAGTGGAGGAGAAATCTTTAAACTATCGGACCCAAATATTCTGCAATTCTCAATCTGGATATTTCAGCATTGAGTGTCAGTTGCTGCATTAATGTATGGTAAACAAATCTTGTATTCATTAGAATTTGGAAACCATGTTTATTTAATCTACGTCAAACACAGACTTTTGTGTGGGAGTGGTATTTTCACATTACTACGGCCCACGACCATCAGTGATGGAAGTGTAAAAAAAGGTTCAGCAATCCGTAATGGCATTTCAATCTTCAACACATTTTGCAATCCGAGTTTAAGACAGCAAGTCTCGCTAACCTAAAACTGAAGTGTTAGCTATGTGTGTTTTGGTTAATGCTGTAAGTAATAGTCTATTTTATCCCGACAATACAAGTGAAACAGTGATGTCATTTTGGTGACAGCAGGTTGAGTGCCACTCGAATGCTCCACTCCAGCACAGACAGACAGGCAGATGGTCTCAAAGGCCAATGCTGCCAAAACCCAGAAGTACTCAGGGAGAGAAATAGGAGCTCGCGTGGAAGCCCTAGCTAGTCAGCAGTTTGTTTAAAACTAAATCAGCCTGCAGCATAGGGTTGTTTTCTTCAGTACACTCTTTACCTCTGCATGTAGCCTCACTCCTCTGTGCAAAAACCATTATGCACTGATCTCGCTTTCCTCAGATGCATGGTACTTCCTGTGGCCCTCTTTGGATTCTTATCTTCCTCAGTCGACCTGCTGCTCCTGCTTTTCTCCCCGCCTCTCTATTTCTCTCTTTCTGAATGCAGAGTTCTCTTTGTCAGCTATTGATTTCTGTTTTCTTTTCTCTCAGCCTCCTCCTACTCCCATGCTCCAGTGGTTGTTGAATCAAGCCAGAGCTTGGCCACAGACTGCTTCCCCCTGGGCCTATTGGGAAAATCAAAGTTGGGACTGTTTAAAATGGAGGAGGGTCACTGGTTCAGAGAGAGGCTATACAAATAGATGTGTGGTTGTATTTTTGGATTAGGCGCAAATAGTTTAGAATAATAAATATTTAAGATTGCTCAGTCTGAAATGCCTGATGCAAAGTGTGACTCTGATGTTACACTTGTTATTCTGTTTTCAGTGAGCTAGTCCTATCTCCTGGCACTGTGTGTTGCAGTATGTAAATATATCTTTTTATACATGAAAAGATTCACTTTCATAGTGATTTAACTGGTGGGAAAAATATTTAATTTCAAGTCTGAGCACAACACAGAGTGAATAGTATTTGGAGCCTGTATGAGAGAAGGAAAGCACTCAAGATGGTGCGAACCTTCAATAATCATATTCTAATTTTCTAATTTCTGATACAAATCACATCCGTCCATACTGAATGAAAAGAAACAGCAGATCTTGAAGTCAGAATCACTTTTCCTTGATGTTCGATCGCTGTCGCCACAGTTAATTAACAGCTGTTGTAAGAAATTAAAAACATTAATTAAGGTGATGTAACAACTGCGGTAGTGACACTGTACAAACTACAAGCCCCAGCTGTAGCTTCTGCATGACTTGGTACATGTATTATTGAAAGGATGTGTTTATGCCCAAGTAGGATCACTAAATGTGACTCTTTATTTCTGTCTAAAATACTGTAGGCTCTAGTATATTTTACTTGTCTAAAATCAATATATTAAATATAAATAAAGAGGAATTATAAATTGCATTTTGTTTCAGGTCAACTGACTTGGCTTTAAGCATGTTTTATTTATTCAAGAGTTAGTAAAAGGTGATGACGCAGGTGAGGGTCAGCAGCCTGCGGTCTCCTGCATGTGATGCTAACAGAGTTACATGTAGGTTACTAATACTGTTTTATGAAAAAGGTATCCGGAGAAAAGACTGTCAGATCTAACAAATTTTCTTTATTATTTTCCAACCACTTTGTTTCTTTCTGCCTCCAGTGAGGGTCGTGTGGAGCTGCTGGGAGGAGGTAGTCTCCAGATCTCCAACCTTACAGAGGAGGATGCCGGCATCTACACCTGCATGGCGGACAATGCCAACGCAACCATCGAAGCCCAGGCCCAACTCACCTTACAAGGTACCCTCAACAACCGACATGGTCTGCTTTCTTTTGTAGGGCCAGAGGTAAAAACTGGGTATGATATATAAAATCATAAGCACCATATAGTTGTAATCAGGCTTTCATAGTTACAATTTAGCAAATCTGAGAACATACTCATGGCTTGAATTAGGAACAAAGTGGCTAGGCTAAAATTAGGATTGGAGATTAGTGAGGATGTATTATGTACTGAGGAGTGTGCATTGGTGGAGAGTGGAGTCATTCCAGGTCCAACTGAACTCTCAGACCACCTTCCTCATTGAAAAGTCTAATTTCAACAAATACTGTTTTTGAATTATCATATTAAATTCCCTTAGGACCCTTATCCCAACCCTGAAACAAAGCCTGCTAACTACAGTAGAGGTAGAGGTGCACAAGCAGGTGGCTCGGTCCTGTTGAGATATGCAGCACATTATGAAAAGGGATATGTTTTTATTGATATAGTGTTGACAGTGAGCAATGAATTCAGCATAAGTAGGCAGTATATGGAGTGTTTGTACCTGTTTGTATCGTTTATTTCATATAACTCCACCCCACGCCGGAATAACAGAAGGATTTGAGCTGCACATATTGCTGGCAGCAAGAAGACAAGTACTAGAATTACAAGAGATTTAACATCATAGCGGGCAGTTTTTTTTAGATACTAAACAACATAGTGAGACCACACATACACACACGCAAACGCAGTACACCTCTGCAATAAAAGCACCACACAGTATGTGTGTGACCAAACACACTTATTCAGACTAATCACACTTAGAAGAATTAAATATGAGTAAATAGTGGACAAAATAATCAGCATTGTCATTTTAGCTGTATTTGTTTTATTTTTCCTGCTGTTACATTACCGCAGCAGTACACACATTCCTGTTTATATACTGTAAGGTTTTTCCTGTTATAATTTAAAACAAATGTGATGATGTTCATTTAATGGTCAGTTCTGCTGATGTGGTAGTATTTATCACTCAAAATTCAGTGTTGATTAGCAAATTTGAATTCTACATATATTGGATTTGAGACATATTAATGAGTATTAATTATCACACTTTCACAAGCAACAGCTGCTATTTCTCAAGGGAATGCTGACTAATCTTCACTTTCAAAGTCCTACTTTCAAAGTAGGAACTTAATTTGTGCAAGACTGGGCTATAATAAATACGTAAATAAGCTCAGCATTTGTGTCCCACAGACATCATACCAAGGTCGGTTATAATCATAACAAGTTGTCAATAATCAGAACTTGAAGCACTGAACTGACTCATCACCTGGTGTTAATTATTTTCCCGCATTTTCTTCACCGCATTCTCTTTTTCTGATTCCCTCTTCCCAAACCATTAGTAACTGGTCTTTGAAGATTCCTTCGTTCCCAAAGCACAAAAAAATGATTTTACCCATTTCAGACACCATATCCACCCCTGCCTGATGTGATGACAATAAGCTAACCATATGAAAATTTGCCAAGGATGAAACAACAAATCAAACACACTGAGCAAGAGTGACAGTCCCAACAACCATACTAGTTGCATCACATTGTTTATTTTCTGTTTCACTGAAAGGAAAGCATACATCACTACTAATTACCTGTCTTCATTTGAGCTTTCCATTCCCACGAATAATAACTTTATAAAATTGGATCTGTTACTAAGTCACTTTAAAGCTTCAACTACGATGGTTCACCTAAGGAAATATATATTTTTAAATAAAGCAAAGGTCATGGTGTTGGTGGTACAGTAGTTAAAGGTTCAGTAAATAATATAATCACATCTCCAACTCTAAAAGTTAAAAGCAATGTGACTGTTGACAATCAGAGAAGAGAAAATCCCTTTGAAAAACTTGGTTGTCAGTAAATAGTTTCATATATCCACTAGATCTTCCAACTAACTAACTCGAACAATAAATAAATATAACTAATACATAACAATTTAACACCTATTCATTAGAAAATTTTAAGAAATCCTGTTGATTAAAGTTAAATCATTTTACACATCAAACACGCCCACAGCATTTGTCTAATTACTGTTGCCAAACTTTGTGTTGGTGAGAAAAACTCACATGAACACAAACGCGTCATGTGTGTTTGTATGCTTTTCCCAGGTAAAGCAAGTCAACAGGATTTGCTGTGAAAGTAACTTTAGAATGGGGAAACACCCTGAGGCTCATTCCCGGGTTCATTGCATTTCACACGCAGCCACATCATGCTATGACTCCTTCCCTTTCTTCCCAAAATCCCTTCATCTCTTCATCACCACCTCACCCCCCAGCACCACCACCACCCTTTCATCATTTCCCGTCGCTCACTGTGATTAAAGGAGACAGTAATGGAAAATCGGATCAGGTCACAGGAGGACATCTGACTTCACTCGTTTTCAGTCTTCAAGTCTGTCTCACCGAAATCCCTCATGTCTCTGACCCAACCCCTGCCAACATCCACCTCCAATGTGACAAGACTGTAGAGAATTGATCAGCACTTTTGGAATATCGTTGAAAGACATCAGTCATTGTAATACGATAAAACAGTTTGATTAGATCCCATGCTGTAGACTTACAGGCCTAATTGTATTTGCTTCATTCAGATTCATGGAGAAACCAGATTGTGGCATTGATTTGCTCCCTTGACAACAGAAGTGACACTTGAAAGGTCAATTGATTCCCTCAAGAAGTAGTTCCGCTTGTATATAAATCCGTGCGGTATGAATTCATACTTACAACCAAACATTGTTTCCTATGACTGACTCTCTCTAAAACACCTTAGGGCTTCTTTTGCTGCAGTAACAAGGAGAAATTGAGAGTTTATGGCTGGTGGCTTTTTATAAACACTGGACAGTCTGTGCTTAGGAAACGATGCAGAGAGTCAGCCGGGGATTTGGTATGGTAAAACATTGTTAGGTTTCGCCTGGAGATAGCTGGGGGGTTTGTGATGCAGCTGGTGCTCATCTGTGGAGGGAGAGATGCATCGGGGCTGCAGCAGGTGTGTGTGCTCACACTAACCCACTACCATGCATACATAATGATGCCACACAAGGTCAATTATGCACTTACTCTGTACACCTGTATGCATTCAGTAGCAAATGTGTGTATTTACATGTGCATTATTCAAACTTTGAACCTGTCTTGGTGGCTCTGTAGTTCAACACACCTAGAGTACATTTGTACCTTTTTTTTTCAGTCAACAAGCTTTGGTAACTTGTACAGTGTACTGAATGAAGAAAGAATGGGCCAAGATATTTCAACATTATTGAACTTATAGATTCAAACTGCATTAACAAATGTGATTTACAGTATAATGTCATGGTTTGATATGTGATTCTACGAAGAATCAGTAAGGTACAATCCAGTCAAATCTCTAAAAGAATCTGATTAGTATTGGCTATTATCGTGTATGAGGTGCAAACTGTTTCCCAGAAATTACCATGGTATTTACTTAAGGAAAGTAAGTACTAAGTACCTTAGCAGTGAACCCTACTTATCAGAACCAAATACGTATTATGGTAAAGATTTTTTTTTTAAGCCTTTTAAGAATTTACACAAAGCTCCAACAAAAATCTGGACAGAAGAATGACACTGCTCCATTCTATGAAAACAGTTGGTGTTTGTTGTGCTGGCTGCAAAGCTTATATCTAAGGACAAAACAAGTGAACAAACAAGAATACCTATTCAAAGTGTGAAATGAGTTGCAGACAGCCTCAGAAGAGATAATGTCAGCAGCTGTCAAAAATAAGCAATAGGTATCCAGGAGCAGTGTGTGCCGTATCTTCTTATTAAATGTAATCAAAGTGCCAGTAAGATAAAGAGGATTTGAGTCTTTATTTGTGTAAACACAAGCATAATCTGGCAATGCAGTGAAGTTATTGGCAAACTTGTTCTTCTGCAGTAAAAGAAGAATGTCTGGCTCTGAACAACAGCGGTAACAGCAACGTTTAGCTCACCCTTCCACTGACGTCACCGATGGGAGCACATGCACAGAGTGTGTTTGTGTGTGTGTTCTGTTCAGTATGACTTTGCTGTGACATCTCACCCTCTATTAGAGCTGGCAAGAGGATAAATGAGGCCAGAGGAGGCAGCAGCTTCTGATTATGGTCTTGTGTGACAGGGGCACCACCCAGACCTGGACTCTGTATGCGCGTGTTTGCGAGACAGAAATAGTTTCTCCACAAACATGTATGTTTCCAGTTTTATGGCGCTCAGTCATGGCCCCATGCTATCATGTCATCAACTTAATTGTTCTTTCCATTTGCTGCGCTTGCATGCAGGAAATCCCTGCCCCCTGTAAAAGTTCCATGCCTTTTCCTATGGGCTGAGGAGATTTATAACCACAGACAGCAGGAGTGTTTTTACCTTGTTATAGAAATTGGCAAAAATAGACAGAAACATAAAAAAACCTTAAATATGCCAGATTTCAGCTCGCAGTTCCACCTTCTTCTTTACTCTTTTGTAGCCAGGAAAAAAGTGAGACATTGATTGTATATCACTTCTACATACTTTGTGCAGCACACATTGTTCCACCAGGGAAAAAAAGACACGTGACTGTAACTTTTAACAAAAGTCAAAGCAAGTGCAGACATCTATTAACATATCAGTTGAAGATGCTGTAGAGGATTTTTTTTTCCGAGCTGTGCTAGAAGTATTTTTTCCAGCTAGTGACAGGAATAGTTGTTGTAAATGACGCGTGGAAGAATTACAGATTTGATAAGATCTGGTGGATATTTTAGTCTGTTTTTGCTTTGGCTCACCATCTTCCTGCCCTCCCTCCAGTGTCACAGAGCAATTATTTTCTGGTCGAAATAAAAAGAAACTTTCCATTTAGCTATTAAAAGAACACTAATCTAATAAGGAGCAGCATCCACAGGCGCACACACACATTTTCCCTTTTTCATACGGCGTGTGTTATCTCAACCAGCGGGGTGAGACATTTGTGTCTGATTCCCGTCTACGCCTTGTGTCTGCCTTCATCTGTGGGGAAACAGTCTGCTAGTTATTAC